TAGGTGGCTGCAGGGCCCAAGGGAGAAGGAAAGGGAGAGTTTCCGTGGTTGAGGGACCAAGACACCACCAGGGCTTGTTTTCGGGTCCAGGTCTTCCCGCCCCACTGAGGAGTGGAGTAGGCTCCAGGGACCATTCCTGGTTGTTGACCCAGCGTGGACTTTCATGAGTTGCCGTAGGTGAGTTGTTACAAGTGGCTTCAGACCCAGAAAGAGAAACCACTCAACATGCTCTGCCTCGGCGTGGTGGACGGCGGGCGGAGCGTTAGACGCGTGGGTGCTGTGCTCCCCATCCTTCCAGCGTTACGATTTTAGTAGGAAGACAGGAGGATCTCCCAGTCAGCACTGTAGGAAGTGCTGGACGGTCAGAGGGGTACACTAGAGCTCCAGACCTTCCGATCTGGGAGTGTTTCCTCCTGGGTAACGTCAGAAGTCTCTTTGTCAGAGTTACATGGGGTCAGGAGCCTTTAAGGGAACGTGAAGTGAGAAGGGTCTCCTTTCATGTCTAGGGACCTGCTTTCCATCTCCAGTGCAGGTGAGCAGGGGCCCCATCATTTGCCCTGACACACAGCAGCCGAGCACCGCGGCGGATGGCGGGAGCCACGGTGCACTAAGACACAGCCTCTCCCTTTAGAGAGTCTAACCCGGTCAGCTCGGTGAGTGAGACGAGGAGGATGCTGTGTCACTGACTGGAGAGCAAGCCGGTGGACCAGGGCCAGCTCTCCCTGGCGGAGCGTCCATCCTTACCTGCTCCCCGTCTGCAGGAGACTGTGGAGGCTACGTTTGCTCCCCAGAATGATGGCTTTCTGCACCGTCTGTAAATGTCTTTTAAGGAGGTCTTCAACAAATGGACTTTATTTTCTCGTAATTCAAACCAATCCGGCATTTATTGAAGCCTACAAGAATGGAAAAGAATGTGGTCTGTAACCTCATGTCCTCTGTTTTTGCTCTCTTGAGATGGCCTGTGAAGCCCAAATCGTGGCTTGGCAGGCAGTGCAAAACCTCCAGCCCCAGCTGAGCCATGTACTAGGTGCTTAAGTTGAAATTTGGGAGATTTTCTAGAGAGAAACATACAGAAATATTTCATGCAGCTGTATTTGCATCCTCTGCATTCTTCCCATTGCAAGGCTGACCTGCCTCTGCCTCTGTCCAGGGCAACTCATCACCGGTTCGTGGGGTCCCTCCCCTCTTTCCTTTCACGGACTTTGCATCTTTCTCTTGTATCATCCCGTTTCTAATGGTTTATCCCATTGGCATATCACTATGTTGTAACATCCCTTAAGATAGTGAAAAAAATTAATAAATCTCTTCTCAACCTCTAGTCCTTCAGCCATTGTTTATCTTGGCGTCTTTATAGCGCAGCTCCTCAAAACAGCTGTCGCTCCTACTTCTACTTGCCGTCTTCCTGTTCTGCGTTTGAGCTCTGTCAGCCAGAACTTCGTCTCCCCAGTAATACTGAAGCCAGGATTCTCAAGCGCACCAACAGTGTCATCTTGCTAACTCCACTGGCCAATTCTTGTCTTCATGTTGTTGACCTCCCATTGGCATTTAACACAGTGGTTCATTTCCTCCTTCTGGAAACCTTGCCTTCTGTAGAATTTGGGGTAGCTCGCTCTCCTGGCTTTCCTGCTCACTGGTCACTCCTGCTTGCCCCTCCTGCCTTCTGCCCCTCTTCCTTCCCTCTCTAAGTGCTGGGGCGTCCTGGGGCTCAGCCATCAGACTTGCTCTCTATCTCCCCTTACTCCTTAGGTGATCTTCCCCAGTCTCGTGATTTTAAATACTGTTCATACTCTAGTGGTTCCCAAACATATCTCTAGCCCAGACCTCTCCCCTAAGCCAAGTGCCTTCTTACGTGCTCCCTGGGACACCTGCTGGACAGTTCCTAGTTTGCACGTCCAAAATAGAACTCTAAATTTCCTGCCCGAGCCCCTCCTCACACGTGTGTCTTCTCCAGTTTGCCCTCTCTCAGACAAGGGCACCACCGTTTACCCAGACTCTCAGGCTCCACGCCTCTAGAGTTAAGACTGAGTTTTTTCTCTACAGTCCACATCCAAGCCATCAGGAAGTGGGGTTGGTTCCATCTGCATAACATCCTAGATTCAGCCGCTTGTCAGCATCTTTACTGACGTCACCCGTCTGAGCCACCTCCACCGCTCTGGACCCACTCAGTAGCCTGGTAACTCATCCCTCTGCCTCCTCTCCTGCTGTCCCTTCCCCAGTCTGTTCTCTCCATGGCCACCCAAGTCGGTGTTTTAAAGTGCAAATCAAACCAGTCAAACCCTGCTCAAGACTCAGAATGAAACCCAAACTGCTTACCATGGCTGCCTCTCACCCCATCTTCTCTCGTGCCCTCCAGTTCTCACTACACCAGCCTTCCTCCTTTTTCTCGACCCACGACTTTGCTCTCGCCTCACGGCTTTTACACTCTGCCTGGAGCGCCGCCCAGGATCTGCTGCATTCTTACTTCTTCATGTTGTTTAGCTGTCAAGCACGTACTATTACCTGCAATTATAGTGGTTGCTCATTTGTATACTTGTTTAGTGTCTGCCTCTGAGGCAACAGAATCTAAATTTCACGGCAGGATTGAGTGTGTCTTGTTCGCTGATGTGTCTCTGGTGTCTGAAATGGGAACGGGCACATGGAAGACTCAAAAGATGTTTGTTAAGTGAGCGAGAAACAGTAACAGCTGGAACTTGCTGAGTGCTTACTACGTGCTGAAACTGTGATGCGGGCTTTGCATGCATTGTCTCGTTTAATCCTCACAGCAGCCCTTTGAGAAATTTACTAGTATTTTACCCTGTTTTACAGACGAGGAAACTTCAGCATAAAAAGGAAGAGGAACTTGCCTGAGGTTACACAGCTAGCAAGGGGTGGAGCTGGACCTTGAACCCAGCGTGGCCTCACTCCGAAGCTCCTGCTCCTGGACGCTAGCTTATGTACCGCCCCCCAGTTAAAGTCCCACTGGAATCATGTGAAGGTGCCCTGCTTTTGCATCCTGCATGTGGGGACCATCAACCCTCCTTTCATTGCCTAATGGGGCTGAAAAGGCACGTCATGGCTCAGGAAAGAGTCACGAGGACTCAGCCACAGGTTTTCCAGCCCCGCCCCCGGAAGTGGGTGCATATTCCAATGCAGGGTTGGGGCGCAGGAGGGGAGGGGTCAGGTGGGATGGGGTGGGAGAGGCACTCTACTCCTGGACGCCCAGGTTTCCAGTCTTTCAAGTCTAGGCTTTGACGTGGGGCAGACTCCACGTGGGCTCCTGCCGCCTTACTCCTCCGGCTTCACTTCTCTCTGGCTGCTCTCCCTTCCTCCTTTTCTGGACGGGAGGTGGGGGCTCTCCTTAGGAGACGTTCGTGGTCCCCCGGGTCTGCCCCAGCGAGTCTGCAGACAGTCCCTCACAAGGAGTTTCCCTGGGCCTCTCTGCCTAAGGACAGTTTTAGGCCCAGGAATGTGCTTTGTTCCCAGCAGGGGACGGGCCAGAGGTGCCAGAGAATTACGTGCCACAGTTTCCCCGAGGTCCCCAGTGGGACAGAGCCCAGGCCGCCCACGGTGGTCACCCATTCATTGACACACCCTTCATCAGCTTGCCCTTCTTCCCTTCCTCGCCTCCTCTCCCCACATGCTCCCTGAGGTCACCCCATGTGAGTTACGTGTGCTGGAATCCCCATCTTAGAGTCGGCCTTGGGGGACACCTGACTCAAGACAGACCGCCTGCCCTGTAGCCGCGGAACAGAAGAGTAGCCAGGAGTCATCCAGAGTCAGCCTGCCTCCCTTCCCACTGAAGGTCAAGTGCGTCTTGACGAGCTGTACATTTCACAGCTTCTGCCAGGATTTCATTTCGTGCTCTCAGTCGTTCTGCGGTGGACACTGGCTGGGTAGAGTTAACCCATTCGCTCCATGCTTGTGAACACCGGGGCTCAGAGAGGCGAATGCAGTGCCTGACAGGAAGACACCAGGCAGCCGCCGCGCACCCTTGCAGTTGTGCATGGCGCCGCACTCCGCAGAGAGCCCAGCCCTGAGTGGGTGCTCAACCCACACGAGTTCTCTTTTCTCTTCTGACTTTTATTATTCCTGTAAAAGGTCTTAAAATCATTTTGTCAATGGAGTTTGGCCATGTTTCATAATCAAAAAACGCAGACGCACCTGAAGCATTTCCTTCTCCGAGGTGAATGTGTGCATTTGGTTCAGAAATTCCCCTCCAGGTTCGCCCCTGCTTTTCCCAGGCGAGGTCTCTGGATCAGCCCAAGCTCACTCTGGACACGCGCCGTCTCCCGGCTGCCGACTGCCCCCCGGCCTGACTCCAGGCTGCTCTCAGGCTCCCGAAGCAGGTGGGCACCCTGATTCTCTGAAGGACTTAGTCTGGAGCAAAGCAGCGTGGAGTGGGAGCTCGGGGGGCTCGCGGAGACGTGGGCTGGCTCCCTGACCCTGGAGTGGAGCACACGTTCCCCTCCAGTGGGTCCTCGCCGGGCATCTGGTGCCTGCGGAGCTGGGGTCTTCAGTGGGCGCGCTCTGCACACGTGTCAGCCCCCTGGTTGTGGCTTCCCCGGGTGGAGGGCGTGCCCTGCCCGGCCTCCTGCGCTTTCCCCGGGACCCCTCCTTCACTGTTCCCTGGGGCGCCTCTCAGGAGGTTCCTCCTCCTCCGCTGCATAGTGTTTCCTTAAAGAAACACATGCCTGGAAGTGGAGTCTCTGCCCTTACAATTTCATAAGTTCTCCTATGAGTTCTCCTTTTTTTTTTTTACATCCTGGTATTTGCCATCACTGCTGATGACCAGCTCTTTTTTTTTTTTTTTGGTGCACTGAGACCTAAAGCACCCGCCAGCTTCCCTTCCTTCCTCCCTTCATCTTCCTCCTTTCCTTCCTTCCTTTCTTTCTCTGTTTCTTTCTTTTCTTTTCTTTTCTTTTCTTTTCTTTTAAAAAGAGAAGTCCCATTCCAGTGGAGTGGCCAGAGCAAGTCACAGGGCTACACTTAACTTCAAGGGGACGGGGAAGTTAAATCCTCTTTTGCCCCAAGAGGGAAACGGTGAGCGTCAGCAATGACTGCCCAAATCATGCTGTCAAGAGTTGTGATCTGCGCTTTAGAGCTGAAAAACTCAGACCGCGTTAAGGCGCTTTCTGAAAGTCACGCAGTTAATGAGTCCACAGAGCGAGGGTCCAGGGGCACACGTGTCCGGTGCACGTCACCCCTTCAGGAAGCCGTTCTACGGAGACGGGTCTTACTAGCTTCCAGGGAACTTCAGATGCTGACGAGTGAAAAGCTTGACCCGCACTTTCACAAAGCTAACTTTGTGAGAAGATGTTTCTTTCTTCTCTCCTCACAACAGCCTGTTGGGTTTTCATAAAAGAAAGAAGAACAGAAAAACCCCAAAAGAAAGAGGAAAGGAGAGAAGTTAAAAAGAAAAGGGAAAATAAAACCCCGCCGGGCCTTCCGCCCACCCAGCCCGTCCCACCGTCCGCCCGCGTGGCGGGGCTTCGCTTGCGTTCCCACCGGGTGGTGGTTTCCATTCACAGGACCAGGTCACCGGTGTGCGATTTAAGCTGCGTGCTTGCTCTTGCTTATGTTTGCTCTCTGCTCGATCACATGCCCTGCCTTCATCCTTGGAATGTTCCCGTGACAGTGGATGACCAGCGGTACAGGGAGCCTGACAAAGGGACGGACCACGGACGCAGCCGCCTCCTCCCAAAACCCCACCCGGGAAGGCAGAGGGATGAGAGTGTGTGTGTGTGTGTGCCCACTCTGCAGGTGAGGAGACTGGGGCTCAGGGAGGTTAGACATTGTTCAAGGTTACATGTCTCGAGCCAGATTAAAACAAGCTGCTGCTGTTTTCCAGAGTCGTAACTTCAGACCCCCTCGCCCCCTCCCCAGCCTTCCCTCTGCCTCCCGCTCCTGGTCGCCTGCCCTTAAGTGGATCGTGTCGGCAGACGCAGGGGTGGCTCCACCCGTGACCCCTCGCACTCCTGCCCCCTCACGGGCACAGAGCAGGTGCGGTCCTTCCCCACCGAGAGCACAGGTGAGGCAGCGACCCCGCCGCTCAGGCTGCCGGCCCTGGACGTGGTCGTCCTCCCAACACCTTAGAAGAAATGCTTCTCGGGCCTCAGAGCTCGTCCTGAACAAACCCGAGATCCATAATGAGCTCTGGAAAGAGGCATGAGTGTAGGAGAAGTCTGTCCACACTGCTGGGCCAAGCCTCCGGACAAGCACGAGGAGACCCAGCAGTGTTTTTGTTTTAATCCCGAAGAAGGAAAAACCACCTTTGATTAGATTAGATATGCTTTGAGTAGGGCCCGAAGTCCTCAGCTTTAATGTGCATGAGATCTGAAACTCAAGATGTTTTTAGAGGCTTTGAGAGCGGTCCTGACAGCACGTGACACCTGCTTTCTCGGTCCGCGGGCGGACGAGGGCCGGGCAGCGGAGAGGGGCTCCCTGACGTGGCTGCGGCCCGGCCCCGGGGGTAGTGGGAAGGGCACGGGCCGGCACTTGCCAGCGGCTCCCGTTCTCCATCAAACACGCACGCTCAGAGGGCGCATGTCTGCCACTCCCTCACCTGCGTGACGGGAAATGTTGTCTCCCACCCCTGGAACGAACGCCACGACTGAAACGGGAAGGTGACCTCGGGAAGAAGCTGGCGGTGGACGCTGACCCCACAGCCTTGAACCGACAGCCACTTAGAGGGGACACAGGCGCCACTCCAGGGCTCGCACACGGGCAGGCGTCCTCGCCTCATCCCTACCAAGTAAGTGAACGCAGCCCCTCCATCAGTGAGTCTTAGTGACTCAAGTCATGGGCTGTGGGGAGTTTTCGTCTGAAGCCATGATGCGGCCCCCGAGTCACGTGGTCAGTCTCCACGTCACAGGAATGAAAGAAGCCATTTAAGATGCAGCTTGAAATTTTTAAAAAGTCACATACTTCTCTGTGTTTGTCATCTTTTCTCAGGTGGCTGCAGAATTTCCCTGTTGCAGAGTTTCTGAGAGAATTGTAGACCCGAGAGCTGGAAGGGGCCTCGTGAGCTGGTGCGAGCCCCTTTCCTTCCAGCGAGGGCAGATCTGTGCCTCCTGCTTTGTGAACGAGGTGACTGCGGTGCTGAGGCTGGTGGTTGCTGTGCCGACGTGACCAGCAGGCGACGCTGGTGTGGAGGCTGATCCTTGCCTTCTGTTACCCCAAACTGCTTTTCACATGTAGAAGATGCCACCATCATGCAGAGTATGAATCAGGAAACATGAAAGGCATGAAAAAGGGCACGCAGGACCCACAGGAGCCTTGGCAGCCAAGTCTGAAGGATGTCACCGCTGGCACACGGTGGGCCCCCCCATACTGACAGTGGAGGCCGGGCAAAGGCGACCGGTGACAAAAGCAGTGAGCTTGAAGGCCACGTGACTGGCCCGTTGGGCCTGGGTTTGCGCGCAGACCGTATGTGGCTGGTGGATGCGCGGTGCCTCTGAGATGTCACAAAAGTGAGTCCATTCAACAAGAAAGCTAGTTTGGTAAAAGAGGGAAGACTGCCAGAGAGGCGGAGGCGACGGCAGTTGCGGGGCCCGGACAAGCCGATTAGCCGCAAGCAGCGCCGTGGCTCCCCGTGCCGAGGCC